GTAAATTGGCTGAAATGACACCCGAACAACAAAGAGAGCAATTTATTCGTGGCTTAAATCCTATAAACTAATATAATCTTTTTCATTAAGAGGAATTTTTAGCTCATTAGTTTTCCAATCCAATGCACAATTGTATTTTTTCAAAAGCTGATTAGAAAATATTAACATCGGCTTCTGATATTTCAAAACAATAAAATTTTCATAGATAGTACAGCCTGGGGCTAGAGTAATGAGTAATTTGTGAACAACTCCAACAGATTCAACCAGAATAGTGGCAATACCACTAAGATCATGTGTTTCAGATTTATCAATTTTAGCTCTCACATGTATAACAATATTTTTTGTTATAATGAGAGGTTCAGCCCCAGAGTCCACTGTTATAGCTAGAATCTTTAAGCGCTTAATTTTACACTTTACAGTTGCAACACTTGTTTTTGGCTTCTTCTTCTTAACGAAATCAATCTCTATCAGACCATCCAAATCTTCTTCCTCATCTAGATCTAGCGATACAACCTCGATAATTAGAGAAGTATTGCTTTGAGATTCTATTTTTTCCTGGATTAGAGGCGTTTGATTCAGTATATTAGCTTTAATAAGGTCTTGAGAGAAATGATCAGGAAAAATTAATTCAAGTTCACTTTGGAGGACTTTACGAATAGTTTCCTCTAATGAAGTTTTAGATGTCTTTTTAAGAGATGATTTCTTAGAACTAGAGTCTTGCTTCACTTTTTTTTTGACTTAGCTATATTAATGGTGATATCACCTTCAGAATCGGAGGAATCCTCTGAACTTGTATCAGAGTCAGAACTATCACTAGAAGAAGTATCAGAAGAAGTACCTGAATCTGAATTTGAATCTACAGTAGCGATATTAACTTTACCCTTTTTAGACTTTTTACTTCTCTTTTTCTTCTTTCAAGAGCAGTTTCGGAAATTATGTCCAGATCTTTTACAGATAGAGCATTTGTGGCCTATTGATTTTTTAACAGCATGTTTAACAGCAGTTTTTATGACACTATTTAATATTAATTCTACTAAACTATCTGAAATATCTTCTATAAGATCATGATCATATTCATCAGCAGGGTGTTTATCTAGATTTTTTCTTAGTAAGTTACTCAAAAAGCAATTAATACCAATATCTTCTGCTCTCTTCTTAGATGATTTTTTACTATTATCTAGAGTTTTAGTCACTCGAGACATAGTCTCTTGGAAGGATTTAATGGTAGACCGCAAATCAGCATTTTGTTGAGCCGTTTGAGACTCTGAGGATGCCATTGCAGTTTTTATCAAATCCACGATTTCAGTTTTAGTCATTCCCGATTTGTTAGTGTCTATGTAGGGGTTGGCTGCTGAAAAAACAGGAAGAGAAGATGATGCATTTTTTTGAGAAAGTGTAAATTTTTCCGCTTCAGCTAAGGCTCTTGTGATATTTTCTTGAGTATCTTAAATTTGGCTATCATTCGAATATTATATTAGTTTATAGGATTTAAGCCACGAATAAATTGCTCTCTTTGTTGTTCGGGTGTCATTTCAGCCAATTTAC